ACCTTCGAAGACGCTGAATTGGAGGCATTGCTCGATGAGGATCCGTGCCAAACGCAAAAAGAACTTGCTTCAGCATTAGGAGTTACCCGCCAAGCCATTTCCAAGCGATTGCATGCGTTGGGAATGATTCAAAAACAAGGAACTTGGGTTCCTTATGATTTGAAGCCAAGAGACGTTGAGCGCCGTTTTTTCGCCTGTGAACAACTGCTCCAGCGGCAAAAAGGAAGGATTTTCTTCATCGCATCGTTACGGGTGATGAAAAATGGATTCATTACAGCAACTCAAAGAGAACAAAATCATGGGGACTGCCCGGTCATGCTTCTACGTCGTCGGCTCGGCCGAATATTCACGCTGCGAAGGTTTTGCTGTGTATTTGGTGGGACCAGGGCGGTGTTATTTATTATGAGCTGTTGAAACCGAACGAAACCATCATTGGGGAACGGTATCGAACTCAATTGATGCGATTGAGCCGAGTACTGCGCGAAAAGCGGCCACAATACGAGCAGAGGCACGAAAAAGTGATTCTACAGCATGACAACGCTCGGCCTCACGTTGCCAAACCCGTTAAAACCTACTTAGAAACGCTCAAATGGGAAGTCCTACCCCACCCGCCATATTCCCCAGATATTGCGCCGTCCGATTATTACTTGTTCCGTTCGATGGCACATGGTCTGGCTAATCAGCAGTTCCGCTCATATGAAGACATCTCAAAATGGCTTGATTCGTGGATAGCCTCAAAAGACGAACACTTCTACCGTGACGGTATTCGAGCTCTGCCAGAAAGATGGGAAAAAGTTGTCGCTAGCGATGGGCAATATTTTGAATGATTCATTTGTAACCATTTTTTCACAATAAAGTTGCATTTTCATCAAAAACACAGCGAGAACTTAGTTGCGCACCTAATATCATCGCTCTATGGAAGGTCGCTGAATTTATCTTGCCCCGTACAAGCGTGGGCGAGGCGCAGCAGGGAAAAGAACGTCAAAGAGAAACTAAAATTACCCATGGGTGCAATGACTAACGTACAATTGGAAAGACTAGCAAGGCGTATGTATATATCTTTCTTTCGAAGTGTTTTCATGCGTGACGCCTTACCGATAGATGGAGTACGTCAAAACGAAAGTGGTATTGTAAATTTAGATAACACAGAGGGACCAGGTACACACTGGGTGACATATGCGAAAAGAGGAAATCGCGCAGTATATTTTGATAGTTTTGGTAATCTTCGTTCGTCCAAGGAATTGATTCGATACCTTGAGAGAGATGTAGTGAAAATTGTGTACAATCGCACGTCTTATCAACATTACAGTCAAAGCATATATGGACAATTGTGTTTACAGTTTCTCCAAACGGTAGACGATGGATATGGATTTAAATTACAACATTCCACTAACAGCAGTCAGTATTCGCTTGGCAGTTTGCGAACATGTCGCTAACGCTTACGTTGACTGGCAACAGTAGCACCCTTACGGTGAGCTATTTTCCCGCTATAGATTTGAGCGACAGTGATTACGAGCTCGGTTTAACGGATTTCGAAACATACAATACGATACCAAATGTAAATTCGTCGAATAATAAATTTTACTATGGTGCTAACGACGAAGAAATTCCTGAAGGATCGTACGAATTGCGTGCCATATACGAATATTTAAAAAATGTAATTTCACATGCTCAAAAAACAGTATGTTCCAAAAATAATCCATATAAAGATGACGCGAATGAATATTCTATAATAATTCGTGCCAATAATAATACGATGAAGAGTGAAATAAAATGTGCTTATAGAATAAATTTTAGTAAGCTAAACAACATTGGCTCGCTTTTAGGATTCTCATCGAGTCATGTATTAGAACCGCACCGATGGTACGAATCGGACGCACCGATTAAGATTGTCAATGTTAATATCATTCGTATAGAATGCAGCGTTGTCAGTGGTGCGTACAGTAACAGTATGCGTGTACATACGATACATGAATTCTCGCCTAAGGTGCCGCCAGGATATAAGATATCGGAAACGCCGGCACATGTCATTTACCTTCCAATCATCGCACGGAGCATTACAGATTTAACGGTGCGTGTCGTTGATCAAGAAGGACAATCGCTCGATTTTCGAGGAGAAGAGATTACCATTAGATTGCATGTACGACGGCGATGATAATAAACGCAATCTATGAAATGCTTGTGGTGAATTAAGTGGAACAGGAGAAACAAGCTGGAAATATACCTTTTACGAGACACGCGATTAACAGTACAAAATCCCTCGTTCGAAAGAAACTCAGCGCGTTGAACGTTGAATTTTTGAAATCTCTGGGATTCATCGTACGAAACGATTGAGAAATATGGTTGACATTTTGAAAATTGAAAGTGAACCGGTCTTTGACGAGCGCATCGTCAAGATTGAGACACATACGTACAACCCATACGCTAACACAACGTTTGGATATAGCGACGATATGAATACCCATACAGCAGCAGGATTTATACATATTGCCATGCGAGAGTTATCTCTATGTCGAGGGGAAGGTGACGAAACAAGTTGCAGTCGACGGTGCAACTGTAACATTGGGATATAATTGCGTTGCATTCATGTTTGATGAGATTCGTTATGAACTGGATGGTGTGGAGATTGATCGTAACAGAAACGTGGGAATAACTTCAACGCTCAAAAACTATGTATCGATGTCTTCGGATGAAAAATGCTGTCATGAAAAATGCCGCGTGGGATGCGACTGACACTATTTCGCCGGACGGATACTTCAACTTTTGCGTACCACTCGGCGTGTTGCTAGGATTCTGTGAAGACTACAAGCGTATAGTGATTAACGCGCGTCACGAATTGATTCTATTACGATCGCGCAGCGACAACAACAGTCTACTAGAATCTTCAGCGCTGGATCCTAAGATTGAGCTGTTCAAGATACAATGGCGAATGCCTCACGTAATCTTGAACGATATCAATAAACTTTCCATGCTGAAAACTTTGGAGAACGGACTGAGTATGAGTTTCCGCTCGTGGGATCTGTATGAATTTCCTCTACTGCAAAGCACGACCAAACATCTGTGGACCATCAAAACTGCTACTAATCTGGAGAAGCCTCGATACGTTATCTTTGCGCTGCAGACTGGCCGGAAGAATGTAATGCCGGAAAATATAGCTCGTTTCGATGACTGCAAATTGATCAATGTGAAGCTCTATTTGCATTCAGAGTGTTATCCGTACGACGACATGAATTTAGACTTTGCAAAAAATAAATGCGGCAGACTTTACGATATGTATAGACATTTTCGTAAATCGTATTATGGATGCGACAGTGCTGAGGTATGGTTAGCAATTATAGACTTTCGACGGCTAGGCCCTTTCGTGGTTATCGATTGTTCGCGTCAAAATGAGTCCGTCAAGAGTGCCATTGTGGATGTGCGCATAGAATTTGAGTGTAAGGAGAATATACCGGTGAATACTACCGCATATTGTCTCATCCTGCACGGTCGTGTAGTTGAATACAGCCCGCTAACCAACATAGTGCGCAAACTCAACTAACATCAGAAAGTATGTACGAGAAAAGAATAATACATGAGAAAGTATGCACTAGAAAAGAACCCTGACCAAAAATAGTCATATCTTTACAGGATACAGAATTTAGTTCTTCACAGGATGTACCCTATGATATGGTGTCTCTCTTTATCTAACATCCCAGTAAGCTTGCTGAAGAAAACGATGGATGGGGATGTAGCATTGGCGGGGGAAACTCGGAGGGAAACTTGCTTGCGTTAAAGAAACTGCTGCTTAGTGTTGCACCAGTCGCTCTATAAAGACAAGGTTCGACAGTCGCTCTGTAAAAAGACAAGGTTCGGCAGCAGCTTCCACATAGTAAATCAAAATGTCTGATGTCAAAATGAGTGCTACGCAAACAAATTATTACATGCCTGAGTGCGACGAATGTTTCGAGGAGCCATACAAAATGCCTGATGTCGAAATCAACGCTGCACAAACAAATTATTATATGCCCGAGTATGACGAGTGCGACGAGTGTTTCGAGGGACCATACAGAATGAAACGTAGGAAGTGAGTATCAGTGTGAATTTGGTACTTTGTGTGCACTTTTCCGACCGAATTTTTAAATGTATAACATTTACATTGCATTTACAGCATTCCTGAATCATATCGTGCTACTCGCATTCCTGAGCCGCGTTATGTTACTCGCATCCAGGGACGCAGCGATATTTCTCTCCCGAACATGCCAAAGAATGGTTGTCCTATCAAGATTGTACCGACGTTTGTTGATCTGCAGGGGTTCATAGTTCGGAAACGATTTATCGTAAAAGAAGCAGCGATACTGAGGAGCGGGACTGTTCTTTCGCACTACCTTTTCACGAGTCCGATGCCATGGGAGTTTCTCTCAAGATCAGAAAAATCGAGAGCCTGCTGGGTAACGGATAATCATCACGGGTTACGATGGGGAGATGGAACCATCAAATTCTGTGAATCTAAACAGTTGATTACTGCAGCTGTGGATGATATATGTGGCAGGCTTCTCAATTCTCAAGACGATGCATCTCAACTTGTATACGTGAAGGGGCATGAAAAGCGGGAATGGCTATTACACCTTCTAGACCATGCGAGAAGCAGCGTGCTCATTAAGACCATGGACGCTGACTATGATGACATGCCTTCTCTCCAAAAGTTGCCGAATGCTTTCCAATGTAATAATCATAAGAAAAATTGTGCCTTACAAAATGTATTAAAAATGTTCAATTGGTGGTCTTTAAGAAACAATGTATGACGCTATAAAAGCATTATTTCAAACATGTAAATGTTTCAATTGGTGATCTTTAAAAATAAATTACTTTGTTATATATATTATGATACATCTTTTTTATTTTAGATCACATCCTTTCTTCCAACTTCCCCTTATCCCCTTTCTTAGAATTTTACATGTTAATTATGTTAATTATGTTAATTATGTTAATTATATTGATAAAAATATTTCTTTATTTGGTTATTATGGTAACGATGATATAGTTAGAACAGGAGCAGGTTCAACAGTGTCATTTATAACCATCAATATAATACAATACAATAATAACAACAATATAATACAATATTTACACATAGTTTCTTTCAGTAGTACATATACATTCTCTTATTTCTATTTTACCTGTTTCTCATTTACTTCAATATGTTCTGTATCATTTAACAATGATGTAGTAGGAGCAGGAGCAGGTTCAACTATGTCATTTATAACCGTCTACAACAATATAATGCAATCTTCAAAAATACTTTCTTTCAGTAGTATGTATATATTCTCTCATTTCTATTTTACCTGTTTCTCATTTACTGCTATATGTTCTTCATAAACGGGCTGCTGTGTTTCCTCAATGGTATTAGGTATCGTAACAGGAATTTGTTTCTTTACAAAATATTCAAAAATTGTAGGTACTGCGTTATGTTTCAATTTCCTTTTCTTATCGCTCCTCTGTTCCCACATTTCAGGTTGAAAGTGTACCTATATTACCGTAACATTTAATTGAATAGTAAACATATTTTATATTTGTACATAATAAATAATTTTACCTCGCATACACATGAATGTTTTGCTGGCGTCCAATTATACTTTGTATTTATACGTTCTATCCATTGTCGTCGACGTTCATCATCTCTCGGGATTATTTTCAGAATATATCCCTTTTCTGAGGAATTGTTGCAAAATGGTATGATACATCCAACCATTTTGCAATAATTAACGAAACTATAAAAACTATAAAAACGAAAATATAAACAGTTGTCAAACGCTTACAGATTATACGAATGTTTGTGTTACTTTTTGCACTAGGTTCCGATATTTACGGTCAGTTCATAAATCGTACATTTCATAGATTTTCAGTACTGACGGCGTATGTCTGAACACACCCGATTTCGATAAAACATGGCGGACCTCCCAACTTGTCGCCACTCTGATTAGAGGCACTCTAATGTAGTCGACATACAGTCTGAAGTTGTGTTTTTTTTATAGCTTGGACATCTGTTAACAATAACCAGTCGTAATACCAACACATATCGCAACATAAAAATATTTTTTCTAACAACGAAGATATCGAGTTTTGTGCTAAATAAACAGCATTTGCGGGAAGCTTTGCTTTCCTGCTTTAACTTGAAAAAAGTGCAGCTGAAGCACATTTGCTTGAGAAGGCCTGCGGCGAACATGCACCATCGAAAACTACCTGCGAAGATTAGTTTAAATGCTTCAGAAGTGGCGATTTTAACACTGAGGACAAGGAGCGCTCCGGAAGACCAAAAACAATTGAGGACGCCGATCTGCAAGCGTTATTGGATGAAGATGATACGCAAACACAAGATCAACTTGTGGAGGCATTAAACATGACTCGCCAAGGTATTTCCAAACGTTTACATGCCATGGGGAAAATTCAAAAGGAAGGAAAATGGGTGCCGCATAAGTTGACTGAGAGACAGATGGAAAATCGAAGGGCCTCTTCCGAAATTTTGCTTTTGCGGCATGAAAGAAAGAGTTTCCTGCATCAAATTGTTACTGGCGATAAGAAGTAGATATATTTTGAGATTCCCAAACGCAAGAAATCGTGGCTTTCACCTGGCGAAGCATCAACATTGACGGCACGGTCAAATTGCTTCGGAAAGAAGACCATGCTCTGCGTTTGGTGGGACCAGAAAGGAATCGTGTACTACGAGCTGCTAAAACCGGGCGAAACTATCAATAGGCATCGCTACCGACAGCAACTGATCAATTTGAACCATGCATTGCTCGAAAAACGGCCAGAATGGGACATGAGATACGAACGAATGATATTGCAGCACGACAACGCTCTGTGCCATCGCACTTCCATCGTCCAAGACACCATCAAAACGCTAAAATGGGATCTGCTACCGCACCCGCCGTACGAGGGTTGCCTTTTATATTTCGGGAATAGAGAACAAAAATAGGAAATTAATCATCGTACATGGGTTTATTGTTTTTCAAAATATTCTCCATGAAGATCAATACACTTGCATGCGCTTGAACCAATTTTCGAAGCACTTTTTCCACTCCGATTGAGGTACCTCCAAAACATGCATTTTGAACGCATCAACCGCTTCTTCAGGCGTCGCAAAACGTTGACCTCGTAATTTATTTTTGATTTGCGGGAATAAAAAGAAGTCATTGGGTGCCAAATCAGGGCTGTACGGCGGATGACCCATCAATTCGACTTTTTCAGTTCTCAAAAAGTCTCTTGTTTGAGCCGATGTGTGAGAGCTCGCATTGTCCTGGTGGAAAATAATGCGTCTTCGGCGGTTGGTTTCCCTTATTTTTCCGAAGACTTCTGACAAACAAATGGTTGTACCATTTGAAGCACCGCAAATGGTTGTACCATTCAGAATTGACCGTCCGACATTGCACTAATGGTACAGTTGCCAAATGTCCGGTTTTTCCGAAAAAACAGGCGACCATTTGCTTCGAAGTGCTTCGTGCGCGAACAACTTTTGTTGGATTTGGCTTATCTTGAAACACCCATACAGTCGACTGCTGTTTACTTTCGGGTTCATACGCATAGATCCATGATTCGTCACCTGTTACGATATCATAGACGTGTTTTGAAGCACCACAATCGTATTTCTTGAGCATTTCTTTCGACCAATTGACACGAGCCTTTTTTTGAGCGATTGTTAAATTATGTGGGATCCAACGCGAACAAATTTTTTTGACAGCCAAATGTTCATGCAATATTGAATGTATGCTAGTCCCACTAATGCCCAAGGATGCCTCAATCTCACGATAAGTCACATGACGATCTTGCAATATCAATTCACGCACAGCATCAATGTTTTCTGGAACAACAACTGATTTTGGACGACCATCATGAAATTCATCACTAAGCGAACTACGGCCACGATTGAATTCCGTATACCATCGATATATAGTGGTTTTTGATGGTGCTTTATCGCCAAAAGTCGAATTAAGTTCATCGATGCACTGTTGTTGAGATAATCCACGTCGAAAGTTATAAAAAATAATCGCACGGAAATGTTCACGACTTAATTCCATTTCTTGGCCGACATCAATTTTTCATGTCACTGTAAACAACACAAATGGCGCATGGACATCAAAACGTTCTGAGTAAATATACTGACAAAAAGTTGAACTTTACGTTAGGGACGTCGGTTGTCAGATGGCAGCACCTGGATCGTCCATTCCCGAAATATAAAAGGCAACCCTCGTATTCGCCAGACCTGGCCTCTTCCGATTATCACTTGCTCCGGTCGATGGCGCATGGCTTGGCTGGGCAACTTCGCCAATTTCGAAAAAGTGGAAAATTGGTTGGATGAATGGTTTCGGTCCAAAGACGCGTCGTTTTATTGTCGCGGTATTCATGTATTGCCAGAGAAATGGCAAAAACGTATAGCTAGCGAGGGACGATACTTTGAATAAACCATTTTATATTTCTCTTGAAATTTTCCATTTTTCATTCATCAAAAAACCCGAAAACTTAGTTGCGCACCTAGTATACATATTAAAGTACATACCGTGAAATGTATTGAATATTACAGAAAACTGTATATATTGGCTGCGTTCAACAAAATGATCAGTGAGCGCTTAGTGGTTTTCGCTCCTGATTGGCAAATACTTCTGGGCCTATGAAAAATCTAAAAGAATGCTCCAGTCACAGACAAAATAATCATCTAAGCGCTCACTGATCACTTTGTTCTGCTGAACGCAGCCATTAACGAAATAATATTGAAATTGCATCATATGTGAAGGAGAAATTCAGCTAAATATTTCCAGCAGATGTATCACTCCTCACTGTTCAGATACCACATAATATTTACAAGATATTTTAAAAACATAGATGTTGGATATATTATAAATATTCTAATGTCTGAGATTTTCAACTATGGAAAAAATTATGATAAATATCTAAAAATATTTATGATATTGTTCATACATCTTTTATAAATCGGAATTCTTTTTATAAACATACGTATGACAAACATGTTTAGATATTTATCATACTCTTTTCATACCTGAAAATGTCGGACATTAGAATATTTGCGAAATATTCAACATCTATGTTTTCACAATATTTTGTAAATATTGAGTGTTTTTTCAACAATGCTACATGTCTTATGTCGGGTCTTGCTGGTCCTCTTCCTCTTCCTCGTCTGCACGCTCGTCGCTCCATAAGTCGCGTTGTATCCTTGGACCGTTCTACGTTGATTACGTCCTCTATGGCAGTGTCGTTCCTTCGCTGTCCGAAGAGTGTCTCGCATCTGTACTTGGAACTCGGAACGTTGAGGCTTCTGAAAGAGCCGGCTACGGTATGCAGCATCTGAAAACCATAATATATCTTTATATCTTTATATCACTACACAGTTGCATGCTACTACACCTGACACCTCCGTGTATAACGATGACTGTATTCAACTCAAAAAATAACTCAGTGTGTACTTTGCTTATTGTCTGTGTTTGGAATATTTCTTTACATTCTTGACAAATGTACGGAAATATGTCAATCAGGATGGATGGCGTTCACTGAGTTGCTTTTTCCGCTGAATATGTCCAAGCACGTCGTCACGACTCAGCAAACTTGATCTGTGTAGAGAAGAAGACACAGCACACACAAAGTAACAATTATATCTCTGCTAAAAATGTTTGATAGAAAATGTGTAATTGGATATAATAGAACCGGATAGAATGTCTATATTAATTTATATGATTTCATGATAAGTCATATATTTTCTATGTTAATGTTAATGAATGTCTATGTTAATAAATTAACATAGACATTCCGTATGTTTATAAAAAGAATTCCGATTTATAAAAGATGTTTGAACAATATCATAAATATTTTTAGATATTTATCATAATTTTTTCCATAGTTGAAAATCTCAGACATTAGAATATTTATAATATATCCAACATCTATGTTTTTAAAACATCTTGTAAATATTGTGTGATATCTGAACAGTGAGGAGTGATACATCTGCTGGAAATATTTAGCTGAATTTCTCCCTCACATATATATGACGTAATTTCAATATTATTTAATGGATGCGTTCAGCAGAACAAAGTGATCAGTGAGCGCTTAGGTGATTATTTTGTCTGTGACTGGAGCATTCTTTTAGATTTTTCATAGACCCAGAAATATTTACCAATCAGGAGCGAAAATCACTAAGTGCTCACTGATCATTTTGTTCTTCTGAACATAGCCAATGTATATAGTTTTCTGTAATATTCAATACATTTCACGGTATGTTCTTTAATATGTATATATTGAATATCACTGAAAAACGCCTACATTCATGAAATAATACAGAAATAGGGTAATGTAAGAGAGAAATGTGGCAAAGCATTTACAGCAGGGATCATTCTTCACTGATTACTGGTAGCAAAGTTGTATGTTCTTCAAATTTTCATGTCTGTTCCCTGTATTTTATTTGACCTCATATGTTAATCGCGTTCGTCATATATATTAAAAAATATTAAAAATTTCTAAATTTACAGATGCATGGGACGAGGATGAGGATGAAGATTGCACGGATGACAGAGACAACACCCACGGTCGCAGGAGGTCGAGAGAGAGAGAAAGAGAGAGAGAGAGGAGGATGCACGCACATGCACACGCGCGCGCGCACACACACACACACACGCACGCACGCCACACACATACACCCACACACACCCACGCACACACATATACACGCACGCACATACCGCACGT